GTTACCCTAGATATAATTTGGTTATAACTACAATTACTAAGTAGGTTATAAGTACAATGAACCTCCAAGTGGGGTTTAGGATTTAAGGCTTCATGTTGGGTTGCGGGTCAATATCTGCTCAATACGAACCGTGGGTTTAGGGTTTAGGGTTTAGGGTTTTTTTCGCCAATATTTTCCGGAGCTCAACCAAGATGGTGTAGCCGTTTAAGGGTATAAAAAGCCTGAACCAATATAACCCCAATAGATCCCCAATTAAACCCCTACATAACCCCAATAGATCCCCTATACAACTCCTATAGAACCCCTATATATCCCCTATGTATCCCCTATATAAGCTGAAATATTCTCTCGCCAAGCCCTGATTGCAGTTTAATGGGCACCTGCAAGAGGGTCAAGGATCGGTGAGTATGTTGCGGGTCCCTGACACCTAACCCCCAAACTCCGAAACCCAACTCCTGGACAGCGTTTGGGGTATAAGCTTTGGGGATTGAGGGGTTAAGGGATTTTGGTTTTGGGTTGTGGGTTTGGGGTTTTTCTGACGGCCGGAATTGAAGCCCCGGACTACACACGCCAAAGCCTCGAAACCTTAAACTCCCAGAGACGCGCAACTCCAATTCCATACCTGGAAAGCCTAGTCAGGCAAAAATATTTGAATGTTTGATACTAATCATGACCTTATTACACCAAAATAACAATAATTCCAAGGATTGTCTGAAACTCACAAACATCAACTTACCCTAAAAGTGCAAGTGCCCAAAGACGAATGGAGTTTGAGGTACCGAAACCAATTCAAGGGCTCCCAGAGGGTCCACATATACAACCATTAGGGAATTGGGACCCATAATTCCTTCTATAGTATGGTATTTTGGGGCCTAATTCGCTAATAGTTGTATATATGGACCCTCTGGGGCTTAGAGTTTGGGCTTCAGGGTGGGGACCTGAAACCTCACTGTTGGGGCACTTGGACCTGCACCTAGAACCCTGAACCCCAAACCAGAAACCCAATTCTATTCCTATGTAACCGGTATAGCCCATTGTAAAGGAACCTCTAAAGACCCCCTTATTTGGGCACTTGGACCCTTAGAGTCCAAAATGTTGGGGCCAAGACGACGGCTTTGGCGGCGGTCGCCTTGAGATTCGGGATTTGGGGCTTATGGGTTAGCGTTTAGGGTGTAGGGCTTTTAAGCTTTAGGGTTCAGGGTTCAAGCTTACTTGCACAGTCAGGGAGATTTGGTAAGTATACCTACGAGCCCTTTAATGAAACCAAACTGCGGCCTGGGTCAGGGGCTTTCTGGCCTTGAAAACCACACCTTGTTCTGCGTGGCTGCGGCACTACGGCCTTGGCGACCAGACATGGATCGAAGACTGGGCCCGCGGACAGCAACCGCGGTAGGGAGCCACCTCTATGCCTGCCGCCGACGTTGTCCTGCACCAAATGGGCACATAAGTCAGGCTGTGGCGAATGTGCACTGTTTCACACGTCCTCACTATGCCTGCCGCCGACATTCCCAGAGGGTCCAAGTACCAAATAATTATGGTACAGGTTTTTGGTAAGTATATGATTATTAGGTACTTGGAGCCTTAGGGACTGTCCTGTGTCCATCAGCATGAAGCAGCCCACCATCAGGCGGCCAGCAAGCCACGTGTCCGCACACGTAGTGACTACCCAAACCCTATAGAGTTAAGCTGCTGCTACAGCCATTTAGGGTTTAGGGTTTAGGCCCCGCACAGTAATAGGCCCCGCTAGCAGGACCAGTAGAATTTTGTAGAGCTGTTTCAAGGTTCCGAGTCTCTTCGGCGCAAGCTATACATGCCTAAACGACCGTAAGCTCAATTTGGTAGTTTCCATGCACCCTGTGACCGAGGAGAGTTTAGGGTTTTAGGGTTTAGGAAAGTTCAGGGCCTAGGGTTAGTAGGGTTTAGGGTTTAGGGTCTAGGGCTACTAGGGTTTAAGGGGTTAGGGTTTTAGGGCCTAGGGTTTAGGGTTCACAGGTTTTGTTCCAGGCATGCCCTGCAGAACATGGCCCAAGTATCTCAAAGATAAATGCTCAAGACACCAAAAGCCATGAAGAATAGACATCCAATAACATCCATACATGACAGTCCTAAACCTGCAACCGTGTGGCCGAAACAAACCTATGCCAAGACACTCAAGCCCATTCTTGGGGTTCTCTGCTTGGGAGTTCTTAAACCCTAAACCCCAAACCCAAGAACATACCCTAAACCGTATTTAAAGCCCAAACCCTCAACCCTAAACATAGACTAAACCCTGATACCTATACAGCTGGTGGTACCTATACCCCAACGAGCCGGGAAACTAGACCCTGAAGTCAAGTTCCTTATGTGAACTATTAGGTTTAGGATTTAGGGTTTAGGGTAGTCTATGTATAAACTCCTAGTATCCCGCTAAATAACCTCTATAGTACTCCGCTATATGGGGTATGCTCGAAATTGTAAGCCCCTTTGGGATATAGATTATATTATGGCACCTAATATATAAGGGTACCAAAATGGGACCCAAATGTTAATTCCCCGTACAGCCCCCTTGAAGGAGTTCACGCTATGGCTCATTCGGATATGGTAGTTATCTTTAGGAGCCCCTGGCATGAAGGTTTAGGGTTTAGGGTGGGGCCCTAAACCCTATAAACCCTAACCCTAAACCCTAAACCAAAACCCTAAACCCTAGTTTGTGTTGGGGTCCCAGTTTCTAGAAGCCACCCTAGGTCTTGCTTCAAGGACCCGCAGCTCCAGAAAGTGGGGCAAAATGTCTGAGTCATCTCCTAGAGGATCCATGTCGCTGTATAGTGTTCAGGGTTTAGGGTTAGGGTTTAAGGTTTAGGGTTTAGGGTTTAGGGTATATACTTCGAGGTACATGGAAAACACCCTGGGCTCTGCGATCTTGGGTTTCGGGTTGAAGGTATGTACTACACTCCCCCAGACTAACATGGACACCCAACTAGCTCTCTTTTAAAGGGACTGTAGTCCTTATAGGCACCCTTTTGGGTTTCCAT